GGTTAAGAATAATGAATACCAGAGAAGCTCTTCGTAACAGTTGCTGGTCTGTTAACCTAAAGAAAAAGGTTTTGCTCTCAGTTTTTCAATACATCTAGGTCCAAAATTCAGCTAACCTTAAATGAACTAGTTTCCAAAGATATCTTCAAACTGTCGTAGTTTTTCTTGTGACTCTGAAGGCAAAATTTGTCCTGAGATATTCAATTTGTTTTGGCCCAAGGGAATCAATGATATGTTTTGGACCAAAACACATTAGAATTTCAGAAGAGTTCAGAAATGCTTTTGTTTTAGGGAAAAATAATGTGCCCTCCTTTGTGTTGGCAGGGCAAAACTGCAATTCTGTAGTATATCTGGTCTAATAAAAATTAGCCTCCTGAATGAATATACATGCACTAGAACTACTTTATGTAATATAAACACTTGAAATCCTTGGGAAAAGACACAATATAAATAACTGGTATACATTTCTGAAAAAGCTAACACATTTAATGGTGTTATCTCCCTTTTCAAGAAATAATGAACTCAGCATAACTAAAAGTATTAATCAGTCAAATATCAAGCATTTATTGACCACCTTATGTTCTCCTATTTAGTCAACATGTTTTTAATGAGTACTTACTTCCTATGTTCTAGATGATGGGATATGTGGTAAATTAAGGGAGTATGGCCATTTTCCTTCACAGAATCCAGTGGGAAGTCAGAAAATAAGTTTAAAAAAATAAGGGGAAAAACATTAACTGTTATGGTAGACATGATAAATGAAATAAACAGGGCACCCTGATAGAGAAAAAAGGAGGTGAGGGTTAATTGACCTAGATAGAACGAGTCCTAGGGAGATGACATTAAAGCTGAGACAAGACAGAAGAAGATCACCAAGGAAAAACCAACAAGCAGCATGTGACAGCCCACGGGAGGTGGGGGTGGAGCACTTACTGTGTTTGGAGAAATAAAAGAACAATGGATCAAATATAAAAAGCAAAGGAGAAGGGCGCCTCGGTGGCTCAGTCGTTAAGCGTCTGCCTTCGGCTCAGGTCATGATCCCAGGGTCCTGGGATCGAGTCCCACATCGGGCTCCCTGCTCTGCGGGCAGCCTGCTTCTCCCTCTCCTACTCCCCCTGCTTGTGTTCCCACTCTCCCTATGTCTCTCTCTGTCAAAAAAATAAATAAAATCTAAAAAAAAAAAAGCAAAGGAAAAAAGACATGAGATGGATTTACATGTATGGATGGATCAAAAACCATGCTAGGACTTACAGGCCAAAATAGGGTTTGTCACTTTTATTAAAATGAAATGTGAAGCAGGAAAATAATGACTGCTTACACTAGGATGGGTGCAGGAGAGATGGAGAAAGTGACCAAATTAGAAATGTTTTTAGGATTGGAATGAACAGAGTGTGCCGAAGTAGCATATGAAAAAGAAAGAACCTAAGCATGATGCCAAGCAGCTTGAGAATACGGGTGCTATTTACTGAAAAGGAAACAGATGTGTGCTGGAGGAGCACGCAAGTTTGGGGAAGCATAGAATTGTGTCTGAAAATTCATATGAACTGGACAGAAATACAAGCAAGACCCTGATTCTCAAGTATGTGGCCATGGAGACTTCAACACACATACGCATAGGGAGAGAAGTGGAAATAAATGCCAAGTGTAATTAAATGTCAAATTACAGAGTAAATCCTATGAGTGACCCATCCAAAGATTCAGATGGGGTAGAAAATAAAAACTAGATTTGTGGAGGAGTGGGAATGTGGAAGGAAAGTATGAGTATGAAAGTGGCCAAGGAAGACTCAGGACAGTGGAAGGAGGCTGGGGTATTAGTGGCACAGACTGAAACAGGAATGGGGATTCTCTATGAGAAGAGCAGACAGAGAATCCCACTCATCTGTCATAGTCATTAAACAAAACTACATTAAAGAATCCCTCCCCTGGGTGGCTCAGTCAGTTAAGGGTCTGCCTTCAGCTCAGACTCAGGATCCTGGGATCCAGGGATTGAGCCCTGTGTTGGGCTCCCTGCTTAGCGGGGAGCCTGCTTTTCCCTCTTCCTCTGCCCCTTCCCCTGCTTGTGTGCTCTCTCTTTCTCAAATAAATAAATGAAATCTTTAAAAGAAGAAGAAAGAAGAAGAAGAAGGAGGAGGAGGAGGAGAAAGAAGAAGAAGGAGTCCCTTGCCAGCTCTGCAACCCCACTGCAGACTCCTGTCCAGGCTGTCATCATGCATGGCAGTTCAGGATACCTTGGCATAGCTTACTACCACTGAGTTTCTGCCTCAAGCAAACCTGTCCATTCTCCCAGACTGGCCTTTCCCAAACCACAGAGCTGATCATACCCTCCCCCTACAAATTCTCCCTGACACAACACCATCTAGTCTCCTGTGCAAAGGCCTTTCCGGTCTGACTCCTTTGCTCCCAGTTACAGCTCACTCTATCCTTCCTACTCCACTCACTGCTCCAACCAACACACGCCATCTCAAACTCAGAATTGTCTCTGTGGATGCTTTTTGCATATTATTTTCCTCAACTTGTGTTTAATTTTTCTTGCCAAAGTGGAGCAAGACAACAAAACTAGAGTATGCTTTATAGCTGATGTCATAACAGAGACAATGTCAACGTTGACAGTTCTTAGCTTGGTCAATGATTGGTCAATGATTCAATAATTCCTAAACACCCCCTTATTTGAAGTCTAAATTGCCCATTATACTGGGAGACAGAATTGGTCTTCCTTCTGTTCTGACACCACCACACCTTATATGTGCCCATCTTACAAAACCTATTGTCCTATAAGCATGTGTGTCTTAATCCTCCAAACACATATATAGGCATTACTCATGCCTCTTCATCTTCATATACTACCACCTTCCCCATTGCCTATCCCAACATTGCCACAGACCACCTAAATAATGAATACCACCATATTTCAGGGTATTTGTGAATCTTATCCCCAAAGAGCGGATGTCTGCTCCAAGCATTTTCTCTGGATCAGCTTGCAGAATGATAGTGGATGGCCAGCTTAATCTTAAAGTATTATTGACACAAAGTGGCAGAGTTAGGCCATCTTCGATTGCCTCAAACCCTGACATTTTCTTCTAAACCTTACAATTCCATTTTCTTCTCATCCAGACAGGTGCTGTCTGAAATGAATAGGTCTTGTAGCCTATAACCTTCCTTTTGCTATGAACTTCTCTGATTTGAGAGGTAATCCTTACTTGTCAATGTTATTGAAAATATGGAAAGATTTACTTCAGTGGTCACATGAATGTGTTCACAACCTATTGCATAATGAAACATTTATAATTATCCTTCCCCTTTCCTAAATACAGAAGATTTGTAACTTTCACTTAATGAGTAGTGTGTGAACTGGCTGAAGAAAATGCTCCTTACACACAGCAGATAGTGCATTTGTGCATGTAATTGATCCAAGCCACAGCAATGTTGAATGTTCATTTTATCCAAAATTAATTTCTTGTTAATAACTGTCATTTTACTAGATTCTTTCACTGAATATTGCAGTAGTAATGAGGTTTTTTCTAAGCTATTATTTACAAAGTTATAAAGTTTTTGTTTTATGTTTTTTATTAATTTGCTTGTTTTACTGTAAGGGTGATACTCCTTACATACCAATGAGCAAAGAACCATAGAACCACAGGACTGAGATGATATGCAGGGGGGGTAGAGCTCCTTCATTTATGAGAAGCTGATTTCTCACACCACCAGTCAAGAACGCTTGAAGCACTCTTAGTAATGTTTCTCACGTGGAGATCAAAACTGACATGCACCTGCTAAGCATGTTAGGTTGGTCATCAACAATTAGGACAGCAAATAGAATGGAACAATTCCAAGAAGGAACCAGCAATTTAGGACCGAGTGATTAAAAAAAAAAAAAAAAAAAAAAAGCTGTAGAAGGTCTTGCCTGGTAGGCTGGGGTATCTCAGTTGAACACAAAAGGCTGTAAGGCTCCAGAGCTGAGGTGTAATATGAATTCCAGTGCTTCAGAAAGATGCTGTGATCATTGTAGAAATGAAATGGGAGCCTAAGGGCCAGGATAGCATCTTCTCTTAAAAGAATAACCAACTTTTTACACAAAATACTTAATGAAGTACAAATGGGCATATTTGTGTAAAAATGTTAGTTACTTCTTGAAGGTTCTTCAAAAGGAAAGTTGCAGCATTCACTCTGTGCTTAGACAAATGTCCTAGTTTCTTCCTTCAGCCTCCACGTAAGTGTATCAGTCATGACCTCCCAACTTGCTTACCAGCATGGACTAGTTTCTGAGTCAAAACAGGGACTCATTTAAAATACCTTTATTCTCAGGGCATCTGGGTGGCTCAGTTAGTTAAGCATCTGCTTCTAGTTCCGGTCATGATCCCAAGGTCCAGGGATCGAGCCCCACAGCGGGTTCCCGGCTCAAGGAGGGGCCTGCATTTCCCTCACCACCCCCCCCCCACACTCTGCTTGCTCACTCTCTGTACTTTCTTTCTCTCTCTCAAATAAATAAAGTCTTTAGAATACCTTTATTCTCATTTACTTGTTATAAACAAAAGAGCACCTCAAATGTCAATGATCATATTTGTGAGCTAATTTTTCCAAAATTTGGTTCTTATCCAGGTTCATTAAAGTTCCTAGTTGCAGTGTGTTCACTGGCTTCAGAAGGTCTTGGATGGCTGAGTTGTTGATATAAGAAGCTTCTCTTGGATCTGTGCAATTTTTGCAATTATCGATTAATTAGATTTGAATGTGAAAGTTGGGCAAACTATTTTGTTTTTATTTTTCTCCAATTTAGAATTTTTGTGGCAGAGATGAAGGAATAAAAATGTGCATAAATATTCAAGTATGCTTAGATGAATAATCTGTTGAAAGCAACAATTGACTTCACTTAGAAATGTTCAAATGTGTTTTGTGTAAAGGTTGACAGTAGTTTTCAAGAAGATGAAGAATTACTTTAGTTAAACAAAAAGGCAAAAATAATCTATCAACACCATAAGTTATTGTTGTTCTTTCTTGCAACTTACAGATAAAGCAAATTTTCAAGTCCTTCAAAAGCATGTCTGGAAATCTGTCTGATTTGGTTGTTGTTCAGGAGACTGGAAAAACAAAAACAAACACAAATTCCAGAATGAGAAACAGATTCTGCAAATATTACAATAATTCTACTAGAAATAGTGATTACAGAGTTGAAAAACATTTACAGATATGTTCACTAAATTTACAAATTTAAAATTTTCTATTCAACAAAGCTATATTAAAATGTTAGTTTGTCACAAAAGACTTCAAAAATAATTTATATTTATTAAATTACCCTAAAATTTATATTTATTAAATTACCCTAAAATTTATATTTATTAAATTACCCTAAAATACCCCTAAAAGAGGACTACAAACCCTAGGATAAAATTCCTGTTTTCCTGAAGCCTACCATTTAAAAGGAAAATTATCAACATAGTCACAGGAATATATTTCTAAATAAACAGATGGAGAGTTATATACACTCAGGCTTAAGCATTTTCCTTGGAAAAATAAATATCACTGCTCTTGGCAAACAGTGGACTCTCATTGTGTATTTGTTGAACGGTCAAACTGAGAGTCAATTACACCATAGGAAGTGAGGCTCTTATTATAGTACCATCAGATGGTCCAAAACTGACTTCTAAAAAATCCAGGGGAAAATAACAGGTGGCAAAAATAAATTGGATTTGAATAGTAAAACAAGTTACAGAAAAATCACCTCTCCTCAACTTTGAACATTTTAGAAAAAGCACTCTGGCAAATAAAAATTATAAATTTTTCTCTAGTAAATACACTTTAAATTTCTTTCAAATTTAAATTATTATGGCATGTCTAAATGTACAGGGAATGTCTACTAATTGAATTGGCACACATTTTTCTGAATATCCTATACCATTTAAAAACTCCAAAGTTTCTAAAATCTACTGCCAGAGTAAAATGCTAGAGGATTCACTTTTAGTGTATTATAAAATATTTGTTTTGTGCTTTTTTTTTTTTTTTTTTGTATGACTTATTAGGGAAACAAGTGTTTCGGCCAGTGGAGCAGGTGATTATTTTACTCATTATACTCACAGAGACAGCCCAGAGACCCTATTCAGACATGTCTCACCTCTAAAGTTTCATTCACACAATTAATTCCCCAAATAGCATTTGAAGGCACTACCCAACACCCCACTTATGGTACCAAAGCCACTCCTTGCCATTTACGCCTAGTGTTCTGGCTATCAGGGAGGCAGAACAATCAATCTACAGTATGCATTAGAGCTGAGGCCAAACAGAGATAATGTCCATTTTTATGGATAATTCTTAGCTTCAGTCAATGATCCCATCAACTTTATAGTCTACCATGTGTTCAAGAAATTTTTTAAGCTAACTAAAAGCAACACACTTAGTTAATATCTAGTTAATACCAGTCACAAACATTGTCCTGAGAAAATTTATTCAGTTACTCTCTTTGTACATTCTTTTTTTTTTTTAAGATTTTATTTATTCATTTGAGAGACAATGAGATAGAGAGAGAGCATGAGAGGGGGGAAGGTCAGAGGGAGAAGCAGACTCCCTGCCGAGCAGGGAGCCAGATGCGGGACTCAATCCTGGGACTCCAGGATCATGACCTGAGCCGAAGGCAGTCGCTTAACCAACTGAGCCACCCAGGCGCCCCTCTCTTTGTACATTCTTAATCAAATATTCAAAATCCAATACAACACTTGCTTTAGATGCTCAAACTACCACTATACATCTATTGTTATTTGAAGAATGACTATTCTACCCCACATTTTATTAAATACATGCACCACCACATATAAAAAAGTATATGTATGTATGCACACATACATATATTTATATGCATATGTGTGCACATAGATATAATGCACATGTGTACACGTAGATGCATATTTGAATGTGTATACGTGTACATGTATGTGCATACATATGTATATACATATACTACACACGTGTGTGATTTGTGCAACTTCTATGTGATATGTTTGTATGTGTGTTACATGATATGTATATACAGTCTCAATCTCATCTGAACCATAGAATATGGGAAACTGTTTGACTATTTTCTTAATTGTCCGAAGGATGGTGCCTAGGAAAGGAGCTGATCCATTTAACACAAAGGATGCCTTTGGTCATTAGTGCTCATTCTCTTTCAGTACCAGAACTGAAAAAGGAAAAGATACTATTCATCATAATTCATCTTTCTTTGGCATATAAAATGTGCTCAGTGCCTATGTTTCTGCATATTCTTACATAGTTATCTAAATTTTGGTGAAAATAAAAAAATTAAACTTCTAAAATTGCACTGAAATTGTTTTTATTTCTTGAACATTATAATTCAATATGAAAGTTAATAATCTAACGTATGAGATCAAGCAATTTAACTCATAGGTTTTCTTGGAAATGTTTTTATTGTTGACGAGAAACAAACCCATTACAGTGATTCACAGTTGAATGTGTTTTCCAATCACAAGTACATATATCTTGTTAAGGTTTATTCAAAACATTATGTTTTCCATCAAAATATCTTTGTTAGAATTTTAATGAATGGAATATTTTCCTAACAATGTTTTGGTTAAGTGATTATAAAGACTGTCATATATATTATTTTTTGTTTTACTTTTCATAAAGGAGATGTATTCAAAATTTATGACTGATTCTACTGACATTCAGGGCATAAAGCAGTATCTAACATCCTTTCACAAAAAGTCAGTACAAGCTTGAGGAACTGTGTGGTTATATTCTATATCCTAATATTGCCTATGATGCCAAGGAGGGGAAAAAAAAGAAGCAAACCAAGCTCACTTGAAAAATGTTATACTTTTATTGGGGAAATGAAATAACTCCTGAAAACAGGAGATCTGCGATCCTGATGATCAAAACCTTGGAGAAGAAAAACCAGCAATAGATCAACGGGCTTGTGTTAATTGCATCTTGCATTGCTGAAACAGTATCTTACACACAGGATGCACACACATACTTGTATATTTGATATACATACAAATGTGTACTGCGTGGGTGGAAATATTTTGTTAAAAAGCAATTGGCGGCTATTAGGAAAGATAAAAGCTTTTTGCATGGTTATGGATTCATCAAAGTGGAGAGAAGCAAAATAGAGCTTTCTCCTCTGTCAAAATTTCCATTCAAGATAATGTCAAGAGTTACTCTGAAAGTGAATTATTATATCTACATTTAAATACAAATAAGATAGTTTGGGGTGTTTTGTAAGTGGTAATAATGTTAATCTGCTCCTGCTTTATAATTATGTTTACTTTTCATTTGGACACTCTCCAGAAATGTGGTTCTGCTACACTTAACATGGCAGGATTGTGCACTTCATTTCCATGCTTACTAAAGTAAGTACTCTAGGGGTGCCTGGGTGGCTCAGTCGTTAAGCGTCTGCCTTCGGCTCAGGTCATGGTCCCAGGGTCCTGGGATCAAGCCCGGCCTCGAGCCCTGCATCAGGCTCCCTGCTCCACGGGAAGCCTGCTTCTCCCTCTCCCACTCCCCCTGCTTGTGTTCCCTCTCTCGCTGTGTCTCTGTCAAATAAATAAAATCCTTAAAAAATTATAATAATAAAAATAAAGTAGGTAATCTAAAACTTTCAATAACCATAAACCTTGATACCTGAGTTATCTGCATAGTTACCAAGTAAGAGATTCTTGGCCAAAGTCAGTAATGACTATTTTTTGAAAATTTGCCACCACTAATACCACAAAAATATTATAAGCACCACATAAATCATTTGCAGTTCAAAACAAACAAAGAAACAAAGAAAACAAAATAAAAAAGGCAAGGTGTGGGAAAGGAAAGGAAGAAAAAAATCAGGCAGATTTAAAGAACACAGTTCTTCAATTGCATGTATCAACTCTTTTTCATGCATATTTCTCAAAGGAAAAGGCAGATTTACATGTGAAATCTCTCTGTGAGTGACAAATTCTTTCACAGATCCAATAAATGAACTGCCCTCTCTATCTTTTGAAATTTTAAGATTTCAAAATTTAAATGTTCTGAAGTAAAAGAAAGATACAGATATTTGAAAATTTATAGTGATGGCCATTTGTTTCTTTTTCTGTAAATTAACTAAATAGGGACACCTGGGTGGCTCAGTCGGTTAAGTTTCTTTCATAGCTTTGGGATTTTGTATCCTGCTTAGGCTTTCCTGAATCTAAAATTACATTAAAAGCTTATTTTTCCTTAAGCTATTGTGGTTTTACTTTAATGCTTAAATATTTGACTTATCTGGAATTATTTTTTTATTTTTTCCAAATTACTTATGTACTGTCATTATTATTGGCTGACATAGTTATATTTCCTCTATGATTTGCAATGTATAATCATATACATATCTCTGACATGCACTGGGTCTATTTCTAGACAAATTACAATGGAAATATTTCAAATATTGCTGTTTTCTGTTTTATTTTCTATATAGGGTATTTCTATCTCTCTTCTTTTTTACTATTTTAATGGTTATTTCCACAGCCACAACCCCACCCCTCCACCCCACCCCCCACCCCCATGTATTTTAGGACAATTCTTCAAATTCAATGTGCTCACTTCAGTAGCATGCATACAAATTTAAAAAAAAAAGTCCTTTGGATACTTTAATTAACATTTAAATTTTACCATTGTGACTTTATCTAAGAATGTGATTTGTCTTTCCACTTATCTAAACTGTCTATCTAAAAGAAATATTCTCCTTTCAGTTGAATGTGGGGGTTTTCATTATACAATCTTATGTTGACAGTGATACTTTTGTCTTCTTTCCATAATGATAACTCATCTCTCTCTGACCTAATGTCATGGAATCTCTTTAAGATGTACTTTAAATAATGGTGACAATGTTTTAGTCTTTTACCCTAAAGAATTATGATCATTTTAGACTAGAAGTTTTAGAAGGGAGAAAAAAAAAAAGAATGCACCAGTCAAGCGTAAACAAAGAAAAAGGACAAAATACTGCTATTGTGCTCATACTTTGTCTTACCACAAAAAATTATTATTACAAGCAGTAACTAAAAATACGACGTTTTTAGATCTATACCAAAACCAATGTAGGGGTGCAGTTTTAGTA